AAACTTTGATCGGCCATGTGGAAGTCCAGCGACGAAACAACTATGTTATCTGCTGGTTCTGAAAATCTTAATTTCTCCATTTTTGAAGGCCAGTTTTCCTGAACATAGTTTTCTTTGTTGCATTTTTGTTACAGTTTTTTGACTATACATTTCCACTCCCTTCTTGCCTACAAAATTTCTGAAGAGAAAGTCACTGATAATCTTATAGAAATGCTCATATATGTGACAAATTGCTTTTCTCTTGATACCATCAAGATTCTCTGTCTTGGGGCTGGCAGGTTGGGTGGTAGTTAAAGGTGCTGGACTCCCACATGTCAACCACAGTTTGAGTTCCAGACCTGGTGGCTTTCTTTCTCTCTCTCTCTCTCTGTTCAAAATTGAAAAATAATGATAATAAATTAATAATTATTCAAAAAAAAAGATTCTCTGTTTTTGACTTTAGACCAGTTTGATTATGATATGTCACATGATTCTCTTTGGATTTATCCCAGTTTGAGTTCTTTAAATTTCTTGAATGTGCATGTCAAATTTTCCCACAGACTTGAAAAATTTTTGGCTCTTATTTCTTTAGGTAACGTACTGACTCTATTCTTTTACTTATGTTCCCATAAAGCATATGTTGTCTAATAGTACTGCAAGATTTTTAGTCCCTCTTTTCCTCATTCTTTCTTTTTGCTCTTTTGACTCAATGATTTCACATGATTGATTATTTATTCTGCTTGACCAAATCTGTTATTAACTTCTAATGGACTGTTGAATTCACTTGTCTTTTTCCTCTCCAGAATTTTCATTTGTTTCTTTTTTTATAGTTTCTGTCTCTTTTTCTTATTTTATTGCTGTATTGTTTTCCTGATTTTTTTCTTCTATGTTCTTTTTTAGTTCATTAAGCATTTTTATGATCACTATTTTAAATTCTTTGTCAGGCATTGCATATATTTGCATTTCTTTAAGATCAGTTTCTGTATTTTTTTTTCTTTTTTCCAGCCAGGTTTCTGTTTCTTTATATACCTTAAACTTTGTCTAGTCTTTGTATACACTGTGTTTGACCTGTCAGCTTGGCTGGAGAGTCTAGATCACTCACATCTTTTTTGATCTCTTGCTTCCTTGGTATATACCTACTCTTGGTATATACTACTTAGCATATATTACTTGGTATATGCAATTCTGATATGCTGCTTGTCTGTTATCAGTGGTTTCCAAGCTCTGGTGTCAAAATTATCAAAACAGAAACCAGTCCATTGGGCAGCCTTCCCAAAGAAGTCAGATGCATGGTCTACATTTTTTAGCATAAGTAAGGAGCCTCAGTTCAAGGGAATTAATGACTATTTGTTCCACACAATGGTGAGAGAGGTACAAGTGGGCATACAGATCACCACAAGTTTTTCTACTCCTTTGCTGGAATTGGATTTTGATTTTACAATGGATGGTGTACTGTAGCTTCTCTATTGGCCTCTAAGAGTTCCTACAGATGTCACCTGAACCATTTATCTTTAGCTTAGAATCTTTAGGGGGAAATAGGGCTTGTAGCTTTCTAGTCTGTCATCTTACTGACCTTGAGTGTGTGTTTTTAAAAGTATTTGTGCATTTTCTCTGTATCTTTCAAGTGCCATTTTAGCCTCTGTTTGCATCTAAGCTTTAAAACTACCTTCTAGATTTTCTTCAAATGTCTATGGATCCTTTTAAAGGGATTGATATTTAAGAATGAGGGGCCATAAGGCTTATTAGAAACTATTTGGGAAGTGGTTATCAACAGTTAAGTTTACTTTAGAGTAATTGGATGAGGTCCTGGCAATTTTACAGGAAGATCTCCAAATGTCAGCATAAATAGCTTATTTATCTGGGGCCGTTCATTGTTCTCCGATAATAATTTCTTTCTCTGAAAGTTGGTAGAGGGGACAGAATTTTGAGTTAATTCTGAAAAAAGGTATTCTAGAAGCAGAATGGTGACAAGAGATGAAAATCTATTCATTGTTATTTCTAGCTTCATTTTATCTTTGTGCTATTTAAAATCTCAGAACGGCATTTTCTGGGTTGGTTTCTGTTTAAATGAACCTTGGGTATTCTGAAAGGAATAGAGGGAATGGTACATGGAAGAGAGAAGAGAAGGGAACCTGGAGGCCCAACCACTCAGCATAGGGACTTTGCCAATCCATTATTTATTTTCTTTGACAGTTGTTTTTTTTTGTTTGTTTTGTTTTTTGTTTTGTTTTGTTTTGTTTTGGGTTTTTTGGCGATAGGTCATGCGCACTCGCCAGACAGACAGAGAGAGATAGAGAGCCAAAAAAGCAAGCAATCACCCCCCCGGGGGGATGGCCATGCTGCAATCCCTTCTCCTCCATTCTCCTCTCGGGATCTTGGGCATGCACACACACTGCTGGTCCCAGCCAATCCATTATTTATCTGTCTCCATGGCTTTAGTAACCCACTATCCATAGTGCCCTTTGTTTCTCATGTTGAATCCAATAAAAATTCTGCTGGGCCCAACTGGCTTATTCTCATTATTACCCAGCTTACATAAACTTCTTCTGAGTCAGCCACTACTTTTCCAGCAGAATTCTGTCTTCTAGGGAACCAGCAGTTAGCGTAATGGCTATGTCGCTGGACTCCCACGGAATTGACCGCGGTTTGCGTTCTGGACCCGGTGGCTTAAAACTCACACCGGGAACGTGTGCATACATACCCAAGATCCCGAGAGGAGAATGGAGGAGAAGGGATTGCGGTGTGACCATCCCCCCAGGGGGATGATTTCTCACTTTCTGTCTCTAATGTCTCTCTCTGTCTGTCTGGAGAGCGCACGTGCCCTAAAGCGAAAATCTCTCCAAAAAAAAAAAAAAATTCATTTATGTAAATAAAAGAATATGTAAATATGTAAATAATTATTTCAACTGCTTCCCTTGCTGCTTTTTTTAGTAGCATATGGGGAAGAAAAAGAAATAAAAAGCATGTTAATCTAAAATTAATAAAACCTTTCTTTTTTTCTAGCACAAGCATCTCTTTCTATTCTTTTTTTTTTTACTTTGAAAATAACTTTTTGTTATCATTTATTTTCCACAACAGATTTTTTGAGTGTTCACAAGTTGCAAGCATCATTCTTAACCCCTGGGAATATAGCCCTAGGCAAGCTATACAAGGTCACTAAGCTTAGAGAATTTTTATTTTAGTGAGCAGTGGAGACAAAGAGAAAGCACTTAAGAAAATACCAAATAATAAAGGATATTGGAGGAATTAAACTAGAGAAATGATCAGGTAAAGACTTAGAATAGCATGGTCACAAATGTCCTTTAAGCAAAAATCAGTCAAGGACTAATCAAAGAGAAAAAAGTGTTACATAGAGAACTATAAGTGCTAAGGTTCTGGGGCATATATCTGAACAGGAGATCAGTGTGGTAGGAACACGTTAGGCAGGGCAAGAGCTATCTATGGTATAAGTGGAAAATAGGCAAGGTAAAACTTCTCTTAAGCCAGGTTAGGTAAGAAGTGTGAATTTTATTTTAAGCAAAATGGAAAGCTCTATGTAGGAGGAGTGTGACATGACCCAATTTGTATTTCAAAAAGATTACTCCTGCTGCTGTGTTGTTGGGAAAATGAGCAAATGAGGAAGCTAAGAGTCAAATTCGTCAATGATGCCTTAGACCAGGGTAAAGGAGGATAGGTGAGATGTGTGAAAGAGTTTGGAATTAGAATCAGTAAGACTTTTCGATCCCTGTTGGTTCTGAGGAAAAATAAATTCCAAGATGACTATTTGTTTTCTGAGTCCTGATCATCTGAAAAGATGGTTGAGCCAGTAACTGAAGACTTGGGAGAAGAACAGGTTGTGGACAGCAGATCTGGTAGATAAAGACTTAGGAATCAGATACATTGAGTTGATAAGACCCATTAACATTCTAAGTACTGGGACCAGCAGTTGGCGTAATGGCTATGTCGCTGAACTCCCATGCAGTCGACCGCAGTTCAAGTCCCGAACCCAGTGGCTTAAATTCATGCCAGGTGCATGTGCGTGCATGCCAAAGATCCCGAGAGGAGAATGGAGGAGAGGGGATTGCAGTGTGGCTATCCCCCCTGCGGGTGATTTCTCCCTTTCTGTTTCTCTGTTTCTCTCTGTCTTTCTGGCAAGCACACGCTATAGAAAAAAACCTCTCAAAAAAAAAAAAAAATTGCAAGTACAAATTGTACCCTATTCCAGAAATAAAAAGTTAGCTCAGGCAACACAGAGTGCCTCTGTCTCCTTGTCCTTTGCATTACCTCCCATTGTATCATGTGTTAAGTACTCTAAAGTTATTAAAAATTTTAAGTTCATGGAAATTATATTCTGTATTAAAATATCTTGATTGGCATTTGACTGGCGTGGTTTATGGTACATTTACCGGTCTGTGAACTCTGAGTACAATGAAGTTTTTTAGTGACTTTACTGACTAAGGCTGGTGCCCACAGATCCCTGAGTCCAGGCAGCCTAAATGACCCTTACTTGACGAGCCACCAAGATAGAAGTCTGAAGGCACTGATCTCTCAAAATGTATGCATTGCCATCGTATATCTTGCATTTCTACGTTGGAGTTCTGAAGGATTTGTAGTCTTTATGCTGTCCTTGTTCTCGTTTGGGGCTTAAGGAAAATGAGGCCCAAGCTCCTATGGCTATAGCTCAACAGAAATCAGGTCTCTCATCTTTTTCTCCAGTGCTAGCTTTCCTGCACCCTACCAAGATGGTATATATAAAATATAATTTTATTTTTTTAATCCATAAAATCTTGTAGGCAGATGCAAAATGCGCAGCAAGTTTTTCTTTGAACTTCTAGAAAGTAGGATAAAAAAATTAGAGGTAGATTCAAAGCCCAATCTTGATTTCTTTGTAATGATGAAAATATTTTATAGTAGTCAAGGAAGACAAACAAAAGCACTTTTTTGGTCAACATTATAGTCACATTTCTGTTTACTAGAATTATATATGATCAGTTTTTTCACTTGTAAAATTGTTTTCTTTTCTTCTGCTTTTGTTTTTCCAGCTATATGTGGTCATTTGAAAAAGCTCACCTCAGCATGGTTCAGATAATCACAGGACAACTTGTTGAGTCGTTTGATGAAGAATTTAGAACTCTCTTTGCCAGATCCTGTGTCCCTAGTGTATTTGCTCAAGAAGAATCAGCAAGGATAAAGCATGGCAAAGCACTGTGGGAGAATGGAACTTACCAGCGTTCCGTTTCTTCATTAGCTTCTGTTTCTAGCCAAAGAAACCTTTTTGGTATGCAAGACAAAATAAATAAACTAGATTCTAGTTACTTCAAAAATAGAGGGATATATACGCTAAATGAGCATGACAAATACAGTATGAGAAACTATGGATACAAACCTCATTTTGTCCCAAATTTTAATGGTCCAAGCACAGTTCGTCCGTTTCAGCCCAGTCAGATAAATGAAAATTGGAAAAGGCATAGTTATGCTGGAGAACAGCCAGAAACAGCTCCATACCTGTTGCTTAACAGGGCTCTGAATCGCAACAGTAATCCACCTGGTCATTGGCAAAGACCGTCAGATAGTCTCAGTGTAGCATCCTCATCACGGGGAGGCTATGCAAGCCACCATAACATCCCTGCCCAGAGTTTTGCCAATCGGCTTGCCCAGAGAAAAACAACAAATCTTGCAGAAAGGAATTCAAATGTGCGGAGGTCTTTTAATGGAACAGATAATCACATCCGCGTTTTGCAACAACGCATGCCAACCCTTGAACATACCACAAAGACATTCTTACGTAACTGGAGAATTGAATCTTACTTAAACGATACTTCAGAAGCTACACATGAATCAAATGGGTCAGCTTTAGGTGAACGAGTTGAAGGCTATGAGAGTCCTGAGTCTGTGAAAGCCAACGCCATTTATACTCATTCTCGACTTCGCTCCTCTTTTGTATTTAAACCAACTTTACCTGAGCAACAGGAGGTTAACAGTTGTACAACTGGCTCCTCAAATTCAACCATCATTGGTTCCCAGGGAAGTGACACACCTAAAGAGGTCCCAGACACCCCTACAAGTGCAGGGCCTGTGAGTGACAAACCTTTGCCAGAATCTGTCCCTGTGCTCCCATCACAGTCAGAACTGCCGAAGATGCATACCTTACAGGTCCCTGAAAACCACTCAACAGTGTTAACCCAAGCTACAAATGGACACACAGAGTCCAACAACTATATATACACAACTTTGTGTGTAAATAAACAGACAGAAAATCTAAAGAATCAACAAAACGAGAATCTACTTAAAAGACGAAGTTTCCCGATCTTTGACCACTCAAAAGCCAATTTAGATCCTGGAAATAGTAAACATTATGTATACAGTACACTTACCAGGAATCGAGTTAGACAACCAGAAAAACCCAAAGAGGATTTGCTGAAGAGTTCGAAGAGCATGCACAATGTGACACATAACGTGGAAGAGGAGGAGGAGGTGATCAAGAGAGCGCCTGTAAGTGGCACTGCTACCAAGTCCGTTTCCATTGCTGCCTTACTTGATGTGAATAAAGATGAACACAACAAAGAGCTCACTGTGAAGAAAGAAGTCAAGGGCTCCCCGAGCTTTTTGAAAAAGGGGTCTCAGAAGTTAAGATCATTCCTTAGCCTTACTCCAGAAAAGAAAGAAAATCTATCCAAAAATAAAGCACCGGCCTTTTATAGGATGTGTAGTAGCTCTGACACTTTAGTTTCCGAGGGTGAAGAGAATCAAAAACCAAAGAAATCAGAACCAAAGGTTGATTCATCTCCTAGAAGGAAGCGCTCTTCATCATCAAACTCACAAGGCAGTATTCACAAAAGCAAGGAGGATGTAACTGTTAGCTCATCTCAGGGGATTAACTCCCCCTCAGATGAAAGCAATAAAAGAATACCTTCCCCAGGTCTGGCGGAAAGGAAGTTCTTGGAAAGGGCAGGGGATGCCTCTGCCCCAAGATTTAACACCGAACAGATCCAGTACCGAGATTCAAGAGAGAGTAATGCAGTTGCCCCTGAAAGAAGACTAACTTCTTCTCCAAGGCCAAAGTCCACTGAACTTATAAGATCTCATTCAACTGACCGACGCATTTATAGTAGGTTTGAGCCATTTTGTAAGATTGAGAGTTCTGTTCCACCAACCAGCAACATGCCACATACCAGTATAAACCGCCCAGAAATAAAATCCACAACTATGGGTAATAGTTATGGCAGGTCCAGCCCCATGCTTAATTACAACACTGGTGTTTACCACTCATATCAACCAAATGAAAACAAGTTTCGGGGATTTATGCAAAAGTTTGGAAACTTCATACACAAAAATAAATGAAATGCTATAATATCAAATAGCTATTAAAATACAAAATGAAAGTGGCTATAAATTTTGTCCAAGGTATCCTTTGGACAGCTTTTGTAACATGTCAGTAGCTTGCTGTAGGGGGCAGAACTATTGGGATAATATACAGTAAAGTTACTGTTCTGTGTGTTGAAGTTAGTTGTTTTAGTTATATTATAGATGGACTTTCCCTGTAAAGAAGTGAGTTTTTTAAATGGTTAAAAAAAAAGATGTAATTAAATTTAGTTTATTTTTGTTTATTTTTCCAGACTGAAGGTCTTTGTAGGCCTTAATTAGAACATTTGTGGAGAGACAGTATGCATATTTTGACCATTCATTCCAAAGTCTTTTTAGAAAAGAAAGGATCATCCTATCAGTAATCCTTTGTAATATGTCTTCATGGTATTTTCACATCTTCAGAAATATCAAAACAAGATAAGACAAAGAAGACAGAGCTTTTTGTTTTTAATGACCTTTAAATTCTACAGATAGTTTGCTATATTTTATTAATGGTTTATTAGTCTTTTTTTTTTTTAAGAAAAATTTTTGCTACAAGGTGCACACGCTCACCAGAGAAACAGAGAGAGAAGTGAGAAATAACCCCCGCCCCCCACTCCCACCCCCCGGGATAGATACACCTCAATCCCTTCTCCTCCATTCTCTCAGGATTTGGGGCGTGTATGCAAACATGCTTGGCGTGAGTTTCAAGCCACCAGGTTCAGGACTCCAAACATGGTCAACCATGTGGGAGTCCAGCAACTAATCATTACACCACACCATCTGCTGGTCCTGATGGTTTATTAATCTTGAAGCACTGGACAACTATATAGGAGCAATGGTACTGTTTAAACTATGTAGCTCAGTAATTTTTAATTTTGCCCAAAAACTTTGCAAAGTATCAGCCTTTGAGTCTTGTGCAGTACAAATTACATTCTTCTTCTTCTTTTTTTTTTTTTTTAAGAGATTTTTGATATAGGACATGTGTGCTCACTGGCAAGACAGAGGGAGACAGAAAGTGAGAAATCACCCCCCTCCTTCCCCGGAGGAATGGCAATGTTGAAGTCCTTTCTCCTCCATTCTGCTCTTGGAATTTTGAGCATGCATGCACATGGCCTGGCGTGAATTTCAAGCCCCCAGCTCCAGGACTCAAATTGTGGTTGACCATGTGGGAGTTCAGCACTTTAACCACTGTGCAACCTACTGGACCCCAAATTACATTCCTAGGAATTTCTTTATCTAAAAAAGAAAAAAAAATAATGCAGGATGTGCTTCTTTTTATTAAGGACTCAGAAAGGCCACACTCCACTTACGCATCAGCTGCCTATCTTTTATAATCTTCATTTCTTCACATCTTTCGCAAGCTAGCATGAATTTGGAAAACCTTTTTTTTCCCTAGTATATAAAAGGTTTTAGGAAACTAAATTCCCACCTAAATTTTCAGGTTATGATGATGGTGAGATGTTTTGCTTAAAATCCTTTGCTGTTTGTGCCCAATGTAACATGACCGCATATTGTTTATATAAGAGAACCAGGCTGAAAATAAGAAGCGGTGCCTAGTCTAATTCTGCAAGGACTGTGTGGCCTGGCAGAAAGTTTTTAATCTTTCTGTATCTCAATTTGGGGATGATACTCTGATCATAAAATACCCTTCACCTTTCTTAGAGTAACTAAATAAAACCTTATCCTTTTTATAGACTATTTCGGTTTTGCTTCATTTACAAGTAGCAGAATTCAAGAAGCAGTGCATCACAGAAGTATAAATAAAGCATTTTTACAACATTGTAAATATTAGGTCATTGGGAAAGTCATGACATATTTTTCTGTTTTTCTATGCCTAATGCATCATGACTTTCCTGACAACCCAGTATATGTGTTTTCCAAGGTACTATGTGGGGTACAGTATATTGTTTTTAAAATGCAATATCCATTCAACATTAGTGTCTCAATCATTAAAATAATTAAAATAATGTCATTAAAATAACTATGCCAATAAAAGAATTCCCTGCAGTTTTCAAAAATAATGAAAAGAAACATGACAGGAGAGAATAGGACCGTGGTGAAAAGAAAACCTAATACTGCACACTTGACAGTAGACTAGGTCATGAGCTGGAACCAAGTCCCAATATTTTGTACTATTGTCCCCACTATTTATAGATGATAATTGAGAGAGAATGTCCCAAGTCATATCACTAATAAGCAACAGCTCTAAAGTGTTTTAATATTCTGTCACATCACATTACCTCCCAATAGGTCCAATGCCTGCATCATTCAGGCTGGTGAGGAAAGAACATGTATTTTTCCTGACTTAACAGTAATCAATTAGGAAAGGTTTAGCTGAATTTTAACCAGGCAACAACACACAGGGTTTACATTACTCGTTAGGTAAGATCAGGGAATTAAGCTGAGATTAGTTTCTGAATGTAATCTAGCAGGGCCAGTTTTAATTGCTAGGCAGCCATTTTGACCTCTCTTATTGGCTTGTGACAATGAGAGTTCAGGAAAGTTAAATGAGAGGGAGGTACAAAGTCTAGGCTTCCATACTAAAGAGAAGAATCCATTAGGTTAGGTAGTTGGGTGGAGACTGGTGTTCAATGTTACATACATTATCTCGTTAAATATGAGGGAACTTCAAAATGACTGTGAAAAAATGAAAGTACAAATTTATGTTGGTACAAGAAAATTTTGAAATCCACACATAGTTTTACTATAATACACATGTTCCATGAATTTTATGAAGACCTCTCCTAGTTGGAACAGCTCTATGAAGTAAGTACCTTCCTTTTTGCAGATGACAAAGCTAAGCCATTAGATAAGCGATGTGTCTTTCCAAGAGTTATACAGCATGGAATTTACGGAATTGGGATTTGACCTGCAAGCCTATATTTTTGAGACTATTCAACACCTTTCCTTCCTGGCTTTGAAGAACCATCTGTGAAAGTAGTTATCTTTCTCTTTTCTCTTTCTTTACCAATTACAGAATTATGCACCAGTAGTATTTATAAATAAAGATCCAAAACAGCACTCTGTATTACATCATTAACTAAAGTAGGTATTAGAGCTCCCTTTGTAGCAAAGGAAATTCCCAGTTCTGCAACATGAAATTTTATTGTATGAAAAGCTGAATGTAAGCACCTGAAAATTCTGTACACTCTCTAATACATAAATTGCATAAAAATAAAGTTTAGAGAACAGTATTTATTACAGGAGAGGTATTACAGCTTATTATATTCATAGAATTTGCTTTTTTAAAAATAACTTTTGGAATATGCATTGCCTTAATATCAGACAAGGAATTCAGTCCCAATAAAAGAAGCATGCCTTGTTAGTGGGTTATTTTTTAGCATCATCTGGAAATTGTATGATTTTCATAGTTTATTATGAGATTATTAAATAGCATTAAAATTGAGTCTCCATGACTGGAAGAGATTATTCATTTTAATGTTAGGAAAATTAACTTTGGTAATTCTTGACCATTAGTTCTTTACTCACATTCCAAAGTTCAGAACCCAGAGTTAACCAAACTAGATTGACTTTAACATTACCTATTCTTTGTTAGTATGGAGTAGAGAATCTATCAAAGTTTACAGGATAATAAGATGTCATTAGGCAGCTCTGAGGTGGGAAGCCTGAACATTGTAAAACTTTAAAGTGCAAATTTAAAATTAAAATCTCATAAAGACTAGAAATGTAATCACGTTTTTGTAAGCACACAGCTGTTGCCTTTTTGTAGAACAACTTCTATAATTTTCTAAGACAGATAGCTTCTCTGAATATCTTTTTAAATAACAATACTTTCTGAGCTCTTCCTCTTATATGGAGTTGAGAAGCAGGGGGTGCTTTATTTTATCTACCCCAGATAGATAACTTAGTCTTTTTTTGCACAGCAGGTTTATTCCCCTCTGCCTTTTTTCTTCAATAGTTTTCCTTTCTATGTTTCCCTCCAAAAATACCCATATGTCAGCTTAATCAGGATAACTCTCCAGTGTTTCTGTGATTGAGAACCTTACCCAGGGTTAAGACTAAGCAAGCGCATAATACTTCAAATCATTTACTCAGCAAAACAAATACTACCAAAGTTTTGAACATAATAGTTTCAAGTAATAGACTTTTGTTCTTCCTCCAATGTTAATATTGGTGGAATGATAATGTATAGGTACTCTTTGATATTAAAGTTTGATAATGCAGTATTTATATAGTACATTAGTTTATAAGCAAAAACTCAGGAAAATGGATATGATTTCGAAGTAGTTCTTGGCGGATGACTTCATAATCATGTAAGTGATCCAGTGTCCTGAACATACTAATATCTGTTTATTATAATGATTGGGATTAGCCACAATTCTGACATGGGGTGTTGATGGATGTCAGTCTACACATGGGGAAGCAAATATCTTGTTTAAGTTCAATTATATCTAATATCTAGATAAACAATGAAAAAGGTAGAATTCTGGCTGCATTCAACTTTATTCAAGATCTATCCAGTTATTCAGCTGTTATTCAACAGATTTTTTTTTGTTAATATCTGTTTGTTCTTAATATGTGATTAAAGGATACAAAGTAGGACCATTGTTTCAGGTTAATGATGCATATGGCTTCTGTATGATGCTGTTCAAAAACAGTGTATATTATTATATTCAGTTTGGTTTGTTCAAGGAGAGGATATTTTAAAAGATGAAATATTTTTTTTAAATATTTCCAAAAAGATGAAATGCTAAACCAAAGATTCACCTTGTCAACTTTTTATATTCACACAATGTTACAAGAACTATTCTTCCAAATTAACTTGGTTTTGATCAATAAATAAATATTAAATAATTTTGTACAAACATGAATAAGTTGTTTTTTGTTTATCAATCTTCATATCCTGGATTTCTCCATTTACACTCAGTCTTTCAGTTGAAGATTATAATCAGGAATTTAGGTGTTTGCACATTTCAAAATATTTATGAACTTTGAAATCTTCTCTAAAATACTTTAATGTTTTTTATTTTTATTATTTTAATTTTTGGCAAGAGTGCATATGCACTAGCTGGAGACAGGGGGACCATGATAAAGCACCCCAATGTGACGTGGTCATGCCATAATCCTTTCTCCTCCATCTCTCCATCCTTTCGAATATATGCACACATGGCGATTTTCATGCTGCCAGATCTGGGACTCAAACCATGAGGTTGACCAAGCGGGATCCAGCTCCCTTGACCATGAGGCAGTGAGCTGGCCCTATAGTAAACTTTAAGTTAGAAGAAAAAAATAAAGAGGACATCTGAATAATCAGAGGCTGCCAGCAAATTATCATGAGGGTTTTAAGAACAAAAACTAATAAAACTTTGCTACCTTTAGGGCTATTTGTCCTAACTTGCTTGTGCTTTGGTGTACTCCTGGTGTCCAGAAAAGAGCACCCAAAACAGATATCCAATAAATATTTGATTTGTGAGCCTGGTATTTTCTTAGGTGCAGTTAGGGAAATATATGGTCTTTAATATTGGTACATTAAAATGGGCATGCAATAACTGTGTAAATAGTCATTTGTA